GCAGATTTTCCACTTCAGATACACGTAACAACAACAACAACAACAACAACTTTTCCCTTGCCGTAGAGTAAATATTTAGAAAATATGGAGGGCGAGAAAAAGTCTTGAAACGTGAGATTCTTCCACATTGATGGTTCATACGGACGCCACTTCCGGCTAAAAGGAATCATATCCCCATCCCGAAAATCAGCTTCGTGACACAGACCAAAAGTAATAATGTGCTAAATGTGACAACTGAGGCTTTCAAGACGGCGATTATGAAGATGACTATCTTCTAGGTTCTTAAGCCGTGGGACATACTGCCTCCATCATCGCCCTGATGATGGAGGCAGCAAGGACTTGCGAAACGTCTGTAAACTTCTACCAGACTACACAGCGCCGCGAAAACTTCAAATCCCACATAGAAACTTATTATTAATCTGATTGTAGACGGATCGATATGTGAATGAATGGGTTAATTAAGTTTGTCCACTCTGCATACAGATACATTAAGAGCTGATCATTACAATGTAATAATAAAGAATCTATGGTTCCCCTTGTCAAGCAGGTCTGTTCTTCATTGATTGCTGATAGCTATCTAGTGCTGACTTTTTTTCCGGCAAAAAGATTTGCGCGAAGTTGAACACTTTCTTTACTGTCATGTTTCGGTTGACACTGATAATGTAATCAAGTTCGCTGACTTTATATTAATCGTGTATCCACGTTACTATTTAATTCTCGTCTTAGGATTGTAGATCACAATCGGTAACATTTTTAAAATGAAATGCAAACATTTTTTTTCAAAACTCTTTTGCAGATGGCGGAGTATATTCGCACGTTTATTTTTTATTTGTTTAATTGGCTACTAATTAGTCTATATCTTCACTCCAATAAACTTAGATAAGTTATTATATCCACACAAATAAACACCGGACAGAACCGCCTTTCTCATGGATAATTCCCTCCAAGTTTACAAATTAGAAAATACCATACGATCTTATCAGTCGTAAAAAGTTTCAGTATTAGTTCTCCTAATAAAACCGCGGGGTTCACATCACGTTGCCCCAAAAACTAAGGTTCGTAATACTCACTGGTCACAACTGTGAAACAAATAGCCTTCTGAATCGGACACTGCTTTCAATATTCATTCCTTTTGTAACGCGAGTAGAAATATGAAGCGAATAATTTATTTAGAAATGCTTTATCAATATTTCTAGTTCATAATTTTCCTCCTTTGGGGTCCCGATGTCGGCAGGCCCTGGGGTCCTCTCGCATGCATCTCTCACTAGCACGGCGAACGGACCAATGCAGAAATCTACACTTAGCAAATGTCTTATTTTTTGTTCCAAATCGATAACGAGGTTGGAGTTTTCTGTCTTCCGGGTTGTTGCGCTGTGTAGTCTGGTCGATGTTAACCAACGTTTCAGAGGTCATACTGCCTCCGTCATCAGGGCGATGAATATTCAGACTACACATCGCAACAACCCAGAAGACAGAAATCTTCATACTCACCGCTGTGAAAACCTCAAATCTTACACAGTATGAGAGTAAATTGTGAATCGAAAAAACCCGTATGTTTCAGTCATGGGAGGATTTTTATTTTACAACATTTACTTCGAGTTTAATACCAGTAAAACTAGTTAGGTTAATTAAAATGTGTTTAAATGAAACCTATAATACAGTCAGTGAAGAAACTTCATTCAACAGAACAACGAAAGACTGAGAAATATATTTGGACATAAGAAAGCTAAGATATTGTTATAGTTGTGAAGAAATATAACACATTCACTGTGTTCGTAAACAATTGGCTGCATTTCATATTCAGAATTATCTGAAATGAGAGGATGCTTCTTAAACTTTTCTTAGGATAAGCCATCAGCAAGGTTCCAGAAAACAAAGACTTGCCGAAATCGAATGGAACTTATCAGATCGTCACAGAAGTTCTATTAAATACTAAATTACAGGCTTTAGTTTATTCTTGAAAAAATTCTATCATTAAACTACCTTCATAGTGATTAGGTTTATACTTCGGCGAAAACTCGGATTGTGATCTGAGCACGAAGAATTATTTATATTATATTTTGAAAACCGAAGGGCACCTAAATATTACTTAAAGACTCAGTTCCTAGCCCAACGAAAACATAAAACCTCTACATTTGATCAGTGCAGTGCTGTTTATGAAAATAATAGCTGTTTTTTCTGAGAAAAATGTGGAACTCGTATATGCACTCTGTTCTAAATTGCTAAAGTACGAGGTGCATTTATTTACAACTGGACTTGGAGAGATGAGAGGTCAACTTGAAGCTCAGAACTCGAGGACCACATTGCCATCAATGTGGAACGTATTTGCTTTGGATTAAGTCTGAGAAAAATATGGAACTCGTATATGCACTCTGTTCGAAATTGTTAAAGCACGAGGTGCAATTATTTACCACTGGACTTGGAGAGATGAGAGGTCAACTTGAAGCTCAGAACTCGAGGACCACATTGCCATCAATGTGGAACGTATTTGCTTTGGATTAAAGGACTATTCAGAGAGCTTCATGATGTTAGACGAAAAGATTACGTTATACTCGATTCACGCCCCTGCAGGCAGAGCCATCTGTCTCCATGCCATTAGGCTGTTGTGACAAGCGTGAAGCGGCGAGCGATACAGTGGACCTCATTCACAGTGAACAAGCAGCCTGCAACTTACGTAAGACTGTGCTGTTCCTACCCTTCATTGGCTGTTTCGTAAGACAAATGGGAATTGACAGACAGTTTTGTGTACACTTAGTCAAAAACGGTTTGTTGACCCTTATCAGCCATCGTGAATCAAAATTTTAAGATTTTTTTTTTTTTTACAGATTATACCAATAACACATTTTCACTCCGAATAGGAAGATGTAAGAACTGTTCGATTTATATTATTTTATTAAGAAAGATGTTATTAAATAAAATTTTAAAGTATTACATTACATTCTTCTGTAATTTTTGACGGATAATTTTCTTTAGCACAGCGTATTTTTTTCAAAATTAATTACACAACAGATGTAACTTCAATTAAGGAAATTTGCCCGAGATACGAACACCGAACTGTCCGGGTGCGTGTTTAGGGCGTTACCATTAAAACAACTTTCTGTTCCTTACGTGAATATATTAAATAGCCTTGTATTATGTAACAAGCAAGCAATGATAGTCCTATTTCTCATCTCGTTTGACGCGTGGATACACCCTTCCCTCACTGTTACTAACGACGAGTTCTCCGCTGATAGACATTCTCTCTTCGGGAGGATCGCTTGACAGCGAATGTGACCCACTCCGCTTTGTTGACTTCTTCTGCGTCAACGGAATATTCCTCCGGGTGGTCAGGCAAATTCCGCCACACCCTGTCTGCGTGTCTGCTCCTTTCCCATGTCTTCGTTACAAAAGAATTTTCATGCTATGAATTTCATATTAAATTCCATTGTATCTTCAGCTCACCATTGGAGTCCCATGATTTGTTAATGAAACCAAGATTTTCATGTTATTTTTATATTCTCTTTTCTAATAGTCTTCTATAAAAAACAAAGTTTAAAAATGGAATCCTTTTACTTGTCGGATGGGTAAGAGAGTTGTAATCTTCTTCATGATAATAAGCATGGCGGTGCTAATGTAACTGTGTTTGCGTTCCTGTACATTCCCTTCACAAAGCGAATTAAATATTATCTGATCTGACATGCGAAGAGCCACCTCAATAATATAACAAGTTTAGACGTTTCCAAGAATACTTTCTAACACCTACTTTTACGTTATCACACGCCGCGAAAACTTATCTGTAACAGCACCTGATAATAATAATAAATTCACTAAAGTTTATAGAGTAAACAAACCAACAACTATTAACACTATAATAGACCTCAGGAGGTCATCATTTGTTTACTCTATATTCTAATAAACACACTAAAGTTTGGCAATGTTTTTCTGTGGTTATAGCACGTCTCCTCCGAGATGCGACAGGAATGCAAGTGTCACGGTATGTCCGGATCGTGCACTGTGAAAACGTGTTGGATGAGACTCCCCAGTTTCCGAGTCGTTGGCGACAATCTCAAGGACCGCTTTGACGGAGCTTCCAGGGTCATGGTGAGCAACGCGGGCAGCTTGCGAGGCCAAGGCAACGGTGGAGGTCCCGGAAGTAAAAGAAGCCGATACACCTTCAAGCTGAAGCCTTACAACCCAGACCACAAGCCACCGGGAACCAAGGACCTGGTTTATTACGAGCCGTCGCCGGGATTCTGCGAACGCAACCCACGGCTCGGGATTCTCGGCACGCACGGTCGTCAATGCAACGAAACATCTATAGGAGTGGACGGCTGCGACCTGATGTGCTGTGGTCGAGGGCACAGGACTGAGGAGCAGACCGTCATCCAACGGTGCGCGTGTACGTTCCATTGGTGCTGCGAGGTGAAATGCAGTCTTTGCCGGACAAAACAGACCGTGCACACGTGCCTGTGAGCGTTTGCGACGTACGAAACGCGAAGAAATGTTTGTTTGTTTTATCTGACAACACTTTATCAGTAGCTCAGACTACTTAGCGTCGGTGTAAAAAGTAAGAAAATGTTACGTCTCCATAATAGGACAATTCTTACTTGAAAATATTCACCGAAATGTGGAAATGAGATTTAAAGTTTAAAGAGATTTCGTCGTAAACTGAACTGTGTACGAAGTCTGGAATTGACTTAAGCTGAGTTACTGGCGTTAGGCTTAGGAACATATAACTCCTATGGAGACTGAGTTTTGTAAGCTCCGTGGTTGAACTATCAATACCCAGAGTGTAACACGAAAATCAAGAGCTAATTTCGACGGAATTAAAGGTGACGTTCTATTTCGAAACTTGATCACATGATACGGTAAGATACATTTCTAAATAAACTCTTTTGTTTAAGGTATCGGTGAACCAGCAGTTTTCTTTATATTTGTATAACTTACTGCTCAAATGTAGCCCACGGAACGTTAGTAATCGCGACACCGCCCTTTAATAACTTCACGTAAGTGTCGTAAATTTAAATTTTGATTTAAAGATATTTTTTGAAAAGATTTTAAGAGTTTTTTTTTCTTATATGGGAGTGGATAGTTCTAACCGAATTAGCCGTAACAGCTGAGACAAATTTAAATTTACGATTAACTTATGCTAAATTATTTAATGAGTTAACCCGTTCACTAAAGTTTCATAGGCTACGTTTAAGCAATAAATAATAAAAAATACAAATAAACTGCGGTTTAAAACGTAATTATCTACGTAGAAATGTACTCATATTTGAAACGACTGCACCGAACTTTAAAAACACATATCCTAATAGAAAGTTTAGGACTCAAGATATATATATAAACTGTTGACTGTGTCATCTCAATGCCAAAGCGTCATTTTCAATTTCACTGTATCAGAATATATCCAGTGGCTATTTATTCGTCTTCAAGAAAGTTGACAATTACGATGTATTATATCTAATAGTCGTACTTATGGAAATGCTGAGTGATTATAATACAGAAAATAGGTGTTAACGTCGTCTTCCTGTCATAATCTGAACGTGTTGACCCCCTGAAACACTGTAGGAAGTGTATGTTCGATGCCGTATGAATTAAGCTAGTGTGTTAAAGTGTTTTATTTTTATTATTCTGTTACTAATAATCGCCATTACAGGGATCTATGTATTTATGTGTGTGACTGAGGCTGAATCTACATGAACACAGGTAGAAAAACCCGTCACGTGTTTCACAAAGCGTATTACTGACGCTAGTCACTTGAGCGGTCGGAGAATTGTAAATATTTTAAATTTTATTAAGGTAATATTAAAGTAAAGAAATTGCCTTTCTACAATTTATTATAATGTAAGAATTTTGAATTAATATTATTTATTGAATGATTGTTACTTATAAAATAATAAATAATTAATAAGTGAAAAATGATCATTATATATCAAACACTGTTTACGGTTAAGCTGCAACACCCACTGACTCCCGGATTCCGTGATCAGCGGAATCCGTTCAGGGATTCCTGGTCCTTTGTTACCGGTACAGCTGTTTAAAGAACGTTCCGTAATCTTATAACTGTTAAGAAACGTGTCTGAGGCCTGTTTGCATCTTTCTTAAGCCTGTCGGAAATTGGTTAAGATTTTGTGAAGTTTATGTATGTAAGCTTCCGTAAAAATCTAGAACTGTATTAAGTATAACACGTTGATAGTTTCGTAGTTCTAAAACGATTTGTAACTGTGGAAAACATTTTCAGCAGGGCCCATTCTTACTTAAGTGTCCCAAATTAAATTTAGAAACGCAATTTCGGTAATTATAAAACACCTTTGGAGACGGTATTAAATCTACGAACGTACGGATTTCTGTTACAGTACACAGGCATTTTGGTTAGATAGTTGCTAGTTTAAGAATTCGAAAAATCACTCGTACGTACGTAAATGTTATTTATGTGAAGTTTGTGAGACTTAAGTTTTGAAGCACGTTCTTTGTGTGAGAATATGTGCAAAAAGCAGTGGTCCCATCTAAATAATATATTCTTTGGGACGTATTAAGCCCTGTTCTGCAGAAACCGCGCACTGTGTAGAATCATGCGTTACTTGAAGCTTAACACTGGAGTCATGAGTTCGAATACCACTCGTGTAAATGTCTGCGTTTGGCCTCCTCTGTGTATATAGAGGCGTCAGGCTTAGCCCATGTGCAAGGAGTCCTAATGAATGTGTAAACTGATTCATAATTGCAAAAGAATTCTTATAAACTGATCCAGACCTTAAGGTCCAACGCGTGAGAAAGGAAGACCTACCAATTATTGATATTCGGAGTACATTCTTTTTACTTGTCCTCGAATACAAGGACTTGAAATTATTTTAAAAAGCTAATCTGTCATTTGAATATGTGACTACGAATTCAAAGCTCCTTTTCGTGAAAATCAAGGCGTCTTAATCTTTGTATTTATTTTAAGGTCGGTGAATTATAACTGTTATTTTTTTTAGGAAAGAGAACAAATATTAATTTTTCTTGTAGAATTAATTAAATGTAATTTTGATTCAATTTGAGATTTAGAATGAGTTTTTACTTTCTTTAAAACACTGGTTATTACAAAATTGCTGGTATAAATGTAATATATTCCGAGTCATCTGACTATCATTTTACTACGCAGTGTAACAGATCGCAGATTAGCTATGCAAAATTATTAATTGATATTCTATTTACCAAACATAAGAAGGAATAAAATTTGTAATAATTATCACAGATCATACGAATTATACAAAAGACACTTTATAAGATTACATTAATCGTGAATTAATTTCATAAGCAAATGATACTGACAATAACTTCTCAATAAATAATTTACATATCCTCTTTCGAAATGTACCTGCAGCTCGTGGTATGGGGATGCTGGCTTAGTTGAAGTCATGATATGGGAACACTTCGCCGATCTTTCTAAACAGATTCCAGTGAAAAAAATCTGTGTCGCGACTTCAAATGCCTTACGCTAGCGACGAACATATCTGCACTTAAAAATTTGCTCCTGAAACACAGTGTTCGGATTTTGTCAATATCGTTTCGTGTTTGTTTGTTTTTCGATTTCAATTCTCAGTCCGAAGTTGCTACTTTTTTTCTTCGAACTGGTCCGTATATTCTCTTGTCTCTGTAAGAACGTTGCCACCGTAATTTGTCCTTCAAATTCTTTCTGGGCTGACGTACGTTTCTCTCGCTCTCTCTTCTACATTGTCATTTAAAATGGGCCAATAGTTCGAAACAAGTCCGGAGATATTCCTCCATTCTGACATGCGCAGAAACACACTCAGCCTATGACAAAAATTATCACTGCGACCATACAATTTCTAATCGAATATAATCATTACGGAAAGACGTTAGTTTGGGCATAATATTTAATGATTTTGTGCTGTTGAATCAACTTCAGCAGTTTGATATGTTCTGTAAAAGGCTTCAGATCGTAATGGTGGATGCGTATCCCTGTTTTTGAATCTTAAAGGCTACACCTTTCAGAATAAAAACAGAAGGGGGTCGCTAAGAAGTCTGCTTTTTGAGATGCGTGTGGCACATCTGGAAATGAGATTTTTATACGGTATTGAATAGTTAATTTGTAGACTAATTAATGTAAATTATCTTAGTCTATTAGAATATTCTTGCTTGCAGTCTGATAGAGTCTATTCAAATTATCATATAATTACTATGTTCCATACACGTCTTTAGTAATATGTCGTACTATTTTATAAACAATAAAACGAAGTAGTATACTCTTGCCATTTGTTTACATACCGTACGTGACATAGGCGCGTGCTGTATCTATTTTAAACACGAAACGATGACATAATGAGTTTAGTAACTGCAAATTCGTGCTGTGGTTCGCTAGAATTTTGTTGCGAGTAGTTGGCACACAGGCCTACAGACGATGGGTGTATTTTATTATGGTCATGTTTCACTTATTTCTTTACAGTTTGTGCCAATGATGGTGAATGTAAGCCTTGAACCGTATGTTGTATGCTTGTAGTAATAAATGTAGGCCAATGCCTTTTCATGCAAAATATAAAAGAAAGTTGGATAATAGCACAGAATATTTCAGAGATTATGAAAGGAACATTTCATTGTCTTATTTATTTTTAATAAACGTACCAATATTTTTCCTATCCTACACGTCAAGCTGATCTCTTCTGGCTTAGTCAAGATGTCTTACATGTGTATAGACACATTACAGAGGCCTAACAATATAGAGCTTGCACACGTGGACTCATGTCAAACGGGCCTCAGAAATTTCAAAGGTAAATGAGACAACTAAACTTAGAGAAGTGGGAGATTTTTTCGCTGTAAAAAAAAGATCTGAGATTCTGGGTGATTTAATATCATTCAGTTCAAATCCTATCTAAACCTCCAGAGGAGATGAACAATAAAAATTGTATCCGTTGTTTCATATGGCCCTGGGACCTGATCTGGACCACATCCGATCGGCTCGGAAGAGACTCCAGATGCAACGAATCTTGGGGTACATAAGGAGGCGGGGAATCTGTTGACAAGATAGGCGACTATTAGTTTTTCAAGTTGGAGTCTCTTCATGGAATTTTCCGAATAATCAGGTGTGATTATCGAATGTTTCAATACATGTTGAGTGATTCATGAACTGTACAGCTGTAACATTTAATCGTCTATGACTATTGGAAATAGTTTTTATTTAGCAACAGGTGTTATGTAACGGCTTACAGAAGGTTAATCCAAGAAATTGAGTGGGTGGGGGGGGGGTATTACCGCCGACTAAGACGAGTTTCTCCTCAGTCTCTCCAGGAAGCCTAATCTGAATTACTGATGAAATATATATATATACTGGCCTAGGCATTCGTTTTCCGTCCAGCGTTCCTAAAAGTTCATTACGAGAAGTGCGTCGGACTCCACCAGCCAGCTCCTCATCGCTTACCTGAGGCTTCGCCCCTGACTCGGCGCTGGGAGGATTGTATGAGATAGAAAAGAACGCAGAACTGGAGACCCATTCTCAAGACTTAGCCGTCGACAGTTCAGAACAAAATAATGTATAATCGGTGTTGGTAGTTTTGTAAATTTTAAGATTATTTACTTATACTAAAAACAGAAGATTGGTCTTGAAGTGACCATAATATACACCCTGTCTGCGCATGCTCGGAAATACTGTAGACAATCACAAAATAACATCAGATAAGATACAATCAAGAATCTCCTGGTTGTAGGTGACCGAAGAAACTTGTGGAGGACGAATTCATAAATGATTGAAACCCAACAAGAACCCAACTATTACCTTTAGGAAATGTTATGTCTACTTTTTACCTTTAGGAAATGTTATGTCTAGTTTTTATCTGAGTAAATGTCGTAGTATTGGGTTCTATAGTTGATAACTTTTAACTTGAAATCTTATTTAAATATTACAAAATAGAGCGTCGACGGGGTTTGAAACATTGTATGATTATGAATGTTAATGAAATTCCAAATTTCTGTCTAGAATTCTCTTGTCGTAATATGAATTCGGTTACTAAGACGATTCGCGTTCACGTATTAGTAAAAGTATTCGTTCTCCGTTCAGGTTTTTCTAAAAGTAACTTTAATGACGTAGTGGATATCTTTAACGCTAGTCACTACTAACTAACTAACTAGATGGCTTACGGAACCCGAAGGTTCATCACCGAATTAACCAAAGCCCTCCACCAGACCCTGTCCTGTGCCAACAAAATCCAGTCTCCTTCAACTCCTATCTCCCACAGATCCCGCCTGACATTATCCTCCCATCTACGTCTAGGTCTCCCCAGAGGTCTCTTCCCCTCAGGCTTCCCAAATAGTGGACCCAACCAACCAGATGGCTTACGGAACCCGAAGGTTCATCACCGAATTAACCAAAGCCCTCCACCGGACCCTGTCCTGTGCCAACAAAATCCAGTCTCCTTCAACTCCTATCTCCCACAGATCCCGCCTGACATTATCCTCCCATCTACGTCTAGGTCTCCCCAGTGGTCTCTTCCCCTCAGGCTTCCCAACCAACACCCGGTGAAAACATTGTTATATATTAAGCCTCAACGTGCATATGTAATTAAATTAAGTAACTCTGAAAACAATGTCAGGACACTTAATGTCTTAACCATCACTAAGTTGTGAAATAAATAAACCCGATTTATTGTTTCGTTGAATTCAGACTGTAACAGCTGTTTAATACACAAGCTAATGTCACACACTTGGCTCCATAGGGCAATATAGCGACACGGCCTTAAGTACCTATTAGATAGCTTCATAAATTAAATCATAATATGGTTGCCTAGCAACAAAATACTTGTGGACATGGATAACTTTATGCATTAAATCTCACGCGTTGCCCTAGCAACCACCAGGCAGAAAGCTCTGAAGGGAAAATAGACATTTTTTATCCTGTACTACGAGCAAACTTTGATGTATTATTGTTTTCAGGAAATCTTTTATTTTTATGTGCGTCTTCAGAATCCATAGTTCGCAGTTGTCTTTTGAAGGCAGTGTGGAATAACTGACGATAGCACGCGGCCGTGATTCTTACTAACCAATGCCACGTGTTAACACGAAATGTCAACATCTTGTCTAACTGGATTTGAAACTGATGTAATTTTGTCAGCATTAATAGTGTACAATGCCATTAAGTATGAAGCGATTTAAGACTTACTTTTGCCATGAAAAACGTAAATTATCAAAGAAAACACAACTCCCTCTGTTGCTGCGTATAGCCTCTAATTTCCACTTTGTCGGTGACTGAAACACCTAAACTTTAGTCAATAAACTAAAAATACGTCACACCTCTCTTGGAGCACACGGCGTGCCGAACAGAAGAGTATTATTAATAGAAAACATAATGTAAATAATTTATAATAAAGGCCGTAAAATATCCATTACATAGAACTAAGTAATATTAAGAATTGTGTACAAACTCGTTAGCTAGCTAACCAAACAACTACGTGGAACAAAGGCTTTCTTAAGAATCTGATTGTCACTCAGCTGGTCACCCCCCCCTCCCCCGGATTTTATAAAATTCAAAAAGTCATAACAGTGTTCACAACAGCCCGCCACTGAACCATAAAGAATCCGACCAAATCCGAAACTCCTCCTTTCTTTTAGTGATGTTCGTCTTCAACCCTGAAGATGGAGGCACCGTGCGTTTATCTAAATATGAGTTCCCACTGCGTTACAACCGAAAAGACCCAACTTTGACATCTTCGCAGTCCTGAGAACATCAGATGTGATGTGTCTTTATTTCCGAATATAAAAGTCTCAGACTCCACGGATGAATCCAGTTCACACCTTGAGACCCTACTCATTCAGATCTATTGCAACATGTCGTCTTTCTCCATTCAATAATTACGACTAAAAGTACGTACAGATTTCTCATACTTCTAATATATTATATAGGTTCCCATTCATTTTATTGTCTTTGATTTGATCACGCTAATAATAACTTATATATTTAATAAAATTACAAATTTTGAAACTACTCGCTATGAAATTTCTTTTCACATTGCAGTCATCTATTTCAAATAAAATTATCATCATGTGTATTTCGTTCCCAAACATGTAATTAGACTATGAAGACAAACATTGTTTCGACACGACGACATCTCGTCAACTTACTTTGGGCTGAAATATTCGAATGATAATTTCCGCCATTTGCAGACAGCTCAAAGTACGGACCATAAATGAAAGTTTATCTCAGATTAGAATCAGTAATGAATAGTAAGGTTCCTCGCAATATTTTTTTATGATCTTGCAGACTGATGGAAAATTTGCACTGAAAATCGCGGAAAATAAGATGTCTTTCTACTGTGTTTGTTTTGTCAGAGATAATATCGCCTTTAATTTATTATTATTAGTCAGTTTTGTTTTTATGATCTCGTTCGTTCATTAATTCATTTACCTCTACCATTCTCTGACACCAAAAATACGGATTTTGTGTCCGCAGTTACTAATGAAAATTTTCATTAAGGTACTCTGTTATTTTCATTAAAATTTCGAGACAATTTTCTGTACTGGTTACTCATTGGTTAATTTGTAAAAGGCTTTTTGTACAGCGGGGATTTAAAGAAGGCGCTCATGTCTTATTCTCATTCAATCCCTAAGTTCCCTGAAAATCCTGATCAAAACCAGGACACCTCCTGTAATATTTCAGTTCTTAAACAATTGGCAGAACGACATGTTCAAAATATTTTTATTTTTTATTTAATTAATTTGAACATTACGCAGTCTTGCTAGGTACGGATGCATGTCGGGTTGTCTACTTTAGCCTGCCCCTGGAGGAAAGTCCGGCACGCGTATCCGAAGGACGGACGGCGAGGGTTGGCATTAGACGAACCGCGTCTTTGTACGGCGAATTAAGTCTTCAAAGGTTGTAAAGTGAAAACATTTCACACGCCTCGAATTGCTTCTTATTCTCCTTCAAATCTTATTTTAACCGAAACCAACATCCTATTATTTACCACTTTAAATAGTTCAAGCGTGCGTACAGTCCCATTGTCATGTAGCTGATGATGTGGTGGTGTGCGTGACGTCACGTAACAGCTGAGCGTCATGTCAGTTTAACTTCTACTGAAACAACAATTGTTTATAGACACTGAATATCTTACACCATGGAATGCCATACAATTTACGTGTTTTAAGATTGTTTAAGATTTTACTACCAACAGAGAAATTATCGTGTCTTAACAGATAAATAATGTATTTCAATTATGTGTTTAGAGACGTTTCGGTCGTCACTGAAATCACTGTACAGTCCATTTGATTCTGTGACCAAAGGTGATGAAGTCTTAAGAAACACGAGTCTGTCCACAGATATACAATAAGATTTTCCCACCTTTACCTTATTTATTCGGTCAATATCCACCGGAAGTGGCTTAACCGTGAGCTCTGGGTTTCCGGGAAACAATATTGAGATAATCTGCCATACACCTTGTGAATAATATAACTTTCAAAGTAACGAGTTGTAACAGTAAAATGAGTCTTTCATTAAACTTTCCATAGAGGATTCTTACAGTAAAATTTGTGATATTTTATGTCATATATATATATATGTCATGCTTAGAAAA